CATGTTTATTTCACACGAGAAACGAATTTCGAGAGACAAAATGTCGAAATAATGTTTTAAAAGAAGAAAATTGATGTACAAACTGGTTAAGATTTTTCAATGCAAGGCTATTTTGAACATCATAGGCAATTTCTGAGAAAGCTTAATATCTGTTAACATCTTCTATGATCAACACTATTGAAGACACATAGTCTCACCATTAGTGAAAAACGGTTGTAAATCATTGAAAAATCACATTCTTTCCTATCAAAAATAGAACGATCAGAGATGTTAAGCATATGAGCTTGTAGTCTATGTAAACCTCTACAAAACTGTATATAAGAAAAATATTTTACAAACAAATTTCATCGATACTAAGGAGCATAATATATATCATTCGAAGCGCTTCGACTTGCTCTACAACATGTTACAATAAATTTCTCAATTCTGAATAGATCACCTAATTCGACAGGATATTTTGTTTAAAGATTATAGGAAAGTTTGTTTTTTTTTCTTAGCTTTAAATTGGTCAAATGAATTTGAATATTGGTTAAATGATGTTGAACCACCTGTTGATAATTATCAATTAACAACAATAAAACCAAATTTACGTGTTACACATTTAAATTATTGGTATGAACATGGTGGTGTTATGATTATGGGTTATGATATATATAGAAGATTAGCTAATGGTTTTGGTTTAAAAAATAAAAAAACTAAAGCACAAGCATATAAATGTCTTGTTGATCCAGGACCTGATATCATTGGTAATTTAATTATTCAATTTTTTTTTCAATGATTTAGCACAACATAGAAAATATTCAAAAATTCATTAGTATCTACTGTCGATTTTGTTTTTATTATCTGAATTAGAATTAGATACTATGAGAAAAGCGTTAAAGTGATAATGAAAAGTTTAGAAACCAAATATTTTCGACTTTTACTTAATGTAATAACTAGAATAAATCGGAGAAAAGATTTTGTTTAGTTGAATTAATTTTCTATCAGAAGAAGTACTTTTGAATGAAAGATCTCGGGAAAGCCAAGACTCTTAAGACCATTTTTTTTTGGATTCTATAAAAAAATGTTTTGCAAACAAGTTCATTAGATAGAAAAAAATATTTTTAAACAAAATAAACTGTGCTCAAGTTCTCCACAATCATTGTGCAATATGTCTAAAACGCTATTTTCTATCGTTTATATGAATTTACTATATTGTACATTTTGGAATCTTTCGGGGTGTGGGTGCAGCTCGTTGCAGATGGGTTTTGTCTGATTTGTTCTAACTACTATTGTTAAGGGAAAAAAAATCAAAAATACTGTAGTTCTAAACTTTTTGTCTCTACTTTAGATAGATATAATTTTATATTCGAATGTTGAAGGTATAGAGTGCTTCAATAAATAGAAAAAAATGACAATAGATGTTTTCTTTTATTTTGGAAAATTATTGATTAGAAGATTTTATATCAAATTTGAAATCTTGCCCATCGATTAAAAACAAATATTCGAAAGTTCTAATATAGCATCCAAAGATTACTTCTTGATGAATAATTACAGCTTGAAATATAATCAATAGGCTTTGTATTAATCTTTAAAACATCAAGTTTTTACACTTATACAATATACATAAGAAAATTCATCTGCCATCACTAGAGATATGCGGGACTAGAACTTTTGTCTCGGCACTGGTATTAAAGATTATAGTTAAATATTCTATAGTTTTAAACCAATAATCTTATATATCATATCAATCAGAACATAATTCCAGAGAGATGATCCAAAAAATGCTAATCATTGACTAAATAAATCAAAAAAACGAGTATTGAAGGATTTTTTTCAGATGTCATATGAATAAATTCTCGAATAGTTTTCTCTAGACTGGAACTGGGACTAGATTAAAGTTACCGAGGTCGCTAGAAAAAAGTTACTGAAATCAAAAAAAACTTGATCCCACACATCTCAAGTCATCACTTAAACTCCTGCTTATGATTTCATTCTCAATTACTACTTGTAATCAAATTCATCTTGCACAAATACTGTTTTTAATATCTATGGAAGCTTCTAGAAAACAGATTGAATCACTCAGTTTATTAAAAATTATTACAGACATCGTGAAGGAACTTCTCTATTGTATAGAATTAATTAAATAATTGATTTTCTACCTACTATATAAATAACATCGTTCTTATACAACATATAAATTCTATTGAAAACTTAATTTAACCTTTTTTTGTATTTAGTTGCTGATGAAGGACATATTTTAAAAAATGCTCAAACAGCTCTTGCTAAATGTTTATCAAAAATAAAAACATATCGTCGTATTGTTTTAACTGGTACACCATTACAAAATAATCTCATTGAATAGTAAGTATACAACATAACATTTTTTTTTTTTTTTTTTTTTTTTTTTTTTTTTTCTAAATTTGATGTTTTGTTTTTTCTTTGTAGTTATTGTATGGTATCATTTATAAAACCAAATTTACTTGGTAGTCAACAAGAATATATAAATCGTTTTGTTAATCCAATACAAAATGGTCAACATCGAGATTCAAGTGAAGAAGATGTTTGTTTAATGAGACGACGTGCATGTGTTTTACATGAATTATTAACAGGTTTTATTGATCGAAAAGATTATTCATTATTAAAAGATTATTTACCACCAAAATTTGAATATATAATTAATATACAATTAAGTGATTTACAAACAACATTATATGATTTATATTTAAAACAACAAGAAAATCATCAACAACAACAACAACAAAATTTATCTACATTGAAAAAAGATTTTAAATCAGTAAAATTATTTGCTGATTATCAATATTTACAAAAAATTTGGACGTAAGAAAAGAATTTTTGTTTTTTTGTTTTTTGGAAATATTATTATTAATATTGTCTTTTCTTATTTTAGACATCCATTTTTACTTTATCCACATTTTATTGATCATTGGAAAAAACGTTTAAATAAAGATGAAGATGATTTTCTTGATGATAGTGAACTTGAAACTATGTTTACTGATGAAGATGAAGAAATGGAAGAAAAGAAAAAAACTAAAAAGAAAACTAATAAAAAGAAAAATGAAAAAGAAGAAAAGGTAAATATTCGATAAATACTAGAAAATATGAAGAGAAACTGTTTGAGATATACATGTATACACATTTCTGGTTTGAGAAACATCAAATGATTGACATTGTCTTCGAACGATATTCTATACGTTGAGATAACATATTCTTTGAGAGATTTTCGAGTTTTTTCTCATCAAAGCAACATCTTTCATGATTGATGATAGCATCGTTTTTTGCGAAAAAGATTGTGACTAGTAATGTGCGAGACCAGGACTATGAGAAAACGACTGATCTCATGCAGAACTGAAGATTATAGTTTAATATTCTATAATTTTTAAACGAATTATCTTTTAAATCATATCAATTAGAGTATAATTCAAGAGAAACAACTCAAAAAAACTGCTCGTCATGGACTAAATAAATCAATAAAAAAAAATCGAGTATTGAAGGATTATTTTAGATGTAATACGAATTAATTCTGAAATAGCCTTCTTTAGACTGGCGTCAGATTAGATTTACTGAGGCTATAACCAGGACCAAAAAAAATTTGTTTCCATACATCTCTAATCATGAACGATATATATGATGATGACAAGCCTTTGAATATATTTCAAAGAATCATTTTTAATTTCATTTATTGTTTCTTAATATAAAATAGTTCAATAGAATCATTTTTCAATTGAATTCAAAAGATATATTTTGAAATTAATTTTACATAATTTTTTATTTTTCTAGTCGAATAAAAAGAAAAATTTTAGTGGTTTCTTAATTGATAATGTTGGTGATGAAGATGAAAGTGTTGAACCATCAACAAATAATGATGAACATTCAAAATCACAAAAACGTACTATGTCTAAATCATCAAATGGTTCTTCAGTAACAACTGTTGAATCAGGTTCATATCAAGATGATGATGATGATGATGATGATGATAATAATAATGATGAAATAAATGAAGGATTAGATTCAGATTCAAAATCGAAATTAACTGATAACAATAATGACGATGATAATATTCATGAAAAAGTTGAAATAGTTAAAAGTTATCGAACTCGAAGTCGAACAGCAGCAAAAAATAAAGAAAAACAAAATTCATTAAAAATATTTAATGGAAAACAGATGAATTCTGATGTTTTTGATACTGGTAATGATAAGATACCTTTAAATGAATCCGATGATGATGATGATGATAATAATCAAGAAAATACTGATCAACCATGGTTAAATGATATGCGTGAACAATTTTGGTTTCCATTCTTAGATATGTTACCAGATGAAAGTGAATTTGATATAAATTTAAGTGGAAAATTAGTTTTACTTAAATCAATTCTTGATAAATGTGCTGATATTGGTGATAAAATTCTTCTTTTTTCACGTAGTTTATATACATTAAATTATATTGAAAGATTTTTATATTATTTACAAAAACAAAATGAAGAAGAATATAAAAAACAATGTGAATCAAGAAGACAATTACGTCAAATGCTTTCTTCAAATGGTACTAATAATAAAGATTTATGTGATTATATATCACAACCTATAGAATGGATACGTGATCAAGATTATTTTCGTATGGATGGTCAAACAGATGTAATAGCAAGAAAACGTTATGCTAAAGCATTTAATGATGAAACAAATATACGTTCACGATTATTTCTTATATCAACATTAGCTGGTGGAATTGGAATTAATTTAGTTGGTAGTAATAGAGTTATTGTTTTTGATGCAAGTTGGAATCCAAGGTAAATGAAAATAAGTTTTTTGTCTAATTTTTATTATAATACAAAATTATGTATAAAGTTGAATCCAAACATTATACAATATTTACAAAATATTAAAGAGTCGATCGGTTAGTCAGATTAAATAATTTTGTGTGAGAACTAGAGTTCATCGGATGCAAAATTTTCGGATGGATTTATTGAGCGTTTTTAGAATTCGAATTGGCCTTTGATACGCTCAATGAAATCAGGATTGGATAGTCGCCCTCAAGATACGAAGTATTTTGTTTAGAGGTTTTTTTTTGTATTTGGTGACTATCGTGTTCTACACATTTTTATAGTGACTAGAGTCTGTCGGGTGAAGAATTTTTGAATCTAACCGGGTTTAGGACTAAATTGGACGGGCTCCAGTGAGATCCGTATAGTTTGTATTTCATAAAACGAAGATTCTTATAAAGCTAATTTGAGGATCATTTCTTTTTCGATGGAAGTATAAAAATATTGTTGCTTGAGAATTTTATAGTTTTTATTTGACTTGATGAATAGTTAAAACTCAGCACATTTGAAGCAATATTTAGAAAGATGTTATAGACGTACTTTTGGATTATTATTACAGAAGTATTGCATCGAAGGAAGTACCTATGAAATTTGAGTGTATCATGGCTTTTGATCTATTCATTAAGATCTTTCTACTTTGATAAGTTATTCATCGAATTCTCGAAAGACTGTATATGAATGTCATTTTGTGCAATTTCTTCTTTTTCAATTCATCTATTAGAAATTATTTACATAGATATATTTAATTGAATTAGATAAGATCGAATTCAACAGTATTATATATTGATTAAAGTATTCACCGCTCAACATTGATTAAAATCCGAAGAAATCAAAATAATTTGTAGCAGAAAGTAGGCATGTGACAATTCTGTATCAATTCATCTAACTCTTTTCATATAAGTTGAGACTTCTGAAAAG